GAATTCTTTCTGGAAAGGAACACAGCAGGTCTCCAGGCTCATGCAGGCACTGCTTTAAAACCACCTTCTAGAAGGGGGCAAATGAAGGACAAAGAGGCCTTGAAAGAAAAGTTTTAACTCCTTTTCAGACATCTTGTCATTGCAAGTGAAGGGCTGCTTTCACGTTACAGTGTCATCACACTAGGTGGCAAGAGGTCAGGGGCATATGGTTCCTAACTCTGTTAAGTTCTTAGCATGCAACACTCAACCTCTGGGTCTTCGTCTCCTTCCTGATCAAAATTCCCTTTTTTTAAAAATTCACAGCCATAAAATTAAAAGAGGAAAAAAAAGTCTAAAACAGCCAACAAACAAGAGCTAGAAACAGCAATGTCTTGGAGGGGGTGGTTACGCTACAGGGTACCTGTTCTATATCAGTTCACTTAACTCAATTAACTGTGCTGCCAGATCACATCATTTTGGGACACAGATATGATCACTCAGCTGGGGAGGCCAAGAAGGCAAAATCCTGGAAAGCTAATAGCAATCTCAGGAATACCCTTTGCAGCCGACCTGCAAAGGGTATTCCTGAGAGTGCTGTAAAGGTCAGGAAGTATAGGAGAGCTATACAGGATCCTGGTCTGTGTGAACAGGGAAGCATTTGAACTTCTCACCTCTGAGTCTCGAATGACCAAATCCTGTCCTCTGCTCCTCTCTGTGCACCTCTGCTATCTGCAGTGGGAATTGCACAGATATCCAAACTTTCCCTTTGCATTTGTACTTGTGGCCAGTGGGTTCACTGAACTGAAGCTCAGGGTTTCCCTCAACTTGTGGCTCAGCCCTACTCCCCCCCAAATGCTCAGAAACTCAGCTTTCCCAAGGAGCCAAGGAGGCCAAGGGGGGGTGTTAGAAAAATAAGTTGTGTCTGTGCTGTGTTTGGAAGATCTCCAAAGATATTTCAGGTGCTGATGAGACCTTCCAGCACATCCATTTAGAGTCTGCAGTTTCCCTTCCTTCCTGCATTATTTACCATACAATCCCAAGCTGCTTAAAGGACTGTTGCAAGCTATTTTCCAAATCATCCTTTCCTCTCTGTGCTGTTTCATATAATAATCTCTCCAAAATCTATTTCAGGAGTGGTGTTTTGCAGCAGAGGGTTGTTTTGATTGCTTTTCCCAACTGTTCTGTTGCAGGCACAGAAAGTTGATTCATTATCATAAAGTTGTCGTCAAGGACAGGGTTACAGATCCTGTGCCCTGACAGTCTCACCTTGCTCAAGTGTCCTTTCTGGAACAGGGACGCAGAGGCTCAGAACGACAAGTGCAAGGCTATGCCCATTAATTTGTTGCTGCAGAGTTGCTGCTGATTATCAGAGCTGTGGGCAAGGATTTGTTTTCAGAGTTGCTTAGGGATGGCAGGTCATATTGATTTCTTAGAGCAAGGTCCTTGATAAACCTTTGGATTATTCTTATACTATGCATGAGCATCTTGGCAGTCTGACTATTAAAGGAAAAAGAGCCTGGACTTTGCCAGCAGCAGTGTTAGAGAATGGGAAAGTAAAATAAAAATAAAACAGGGAGTATATTTTGAGCTGGCAAAATTTGAAAATGCTTTTTTCAAAACCACCCAGAAATCCCAAATCTGTATACCTCAAACCTTACCCTGGAACCAAAGGCGCATTTTGCGTCAGAGAGACTGAACTTCATTTTCTACCAGATTTCAAAGTTTCTCAACCACCCAGCATTCATATTAGCTTGCTATTTCAGATTTAGCTGCCCTGCTTTTACCCCAAGAGCATCTCTCTGGGAAGCGAGTGCACTTCCACACCACACATTCAAAGCCAGAGTGCTTCACTTGCTTGAGCAGGTTTTGGCAAAGCTCGGTGCAGTTCTCAGCTTTGAAGCATAATTGCCCAACTACAGCAGTGACTTCGGTCTCCAAAGGCTAAAAGGAGAAAGAGAAAGGAAGGAGGTGGGAGGACAGTTGAGGATAGCACATTTCAGATGTGGGATACAGTTCTTTCTTTCTTGGAGGCCTATTTCTGGATGCTGCTGGAGAAGTGGACAGCTAAAAGAAGCGAGCAAACATAAAATGAAAGAGTGCATTAGAAAGCACACACAGCCCACACACCATGACAGGCAAGAGCTGGGGGACCTGTGTAATCAGAGCTATAATGATTCCATAATTTCACATCCAAACATAATTAGTTGAGGTACGTTCTTTGACAGCTAGAGATTTGCAAAATTAGGGTCAAGCAGGTTCATTTTTTTAATTGCTCTCATTTCCCCCCTCTGTGTTGTTTCTTGTCACTTTATAGCCTCCTCCCTGGGCCAAATGCATCCCTCGGGTAACCCGGCTTTTAAAAAAGCCTCCATGAATTTGATCCCTTGTACCTTGGAAGCATGGAAACACGGCAACAAATAGTTTTCTGCCTGTGTGACTGGCCTGTCACATGTCTTGGCACATCTGAAGGCCTGTGTGTTCGGCTGCCAGCCATAAGAGCCCAATTCCCTGAAAAATACAATCAAATTGTAGGCTGCTCCCTACTCCATACATTACTGCTGTCAACTGCAGTAACAGCAGATAGTAGGAAACCAGCCTGCCTAGTTCCAGCGAGATTAGTATCCACAGTTTCAGATGGCAGCAGAATGTGCGATTTAAGGGGTGATTTAAATATGCAGTCAGATTCATTAACTAGTTTTATTCCACCTAATTAAACAAGCCAGGACAGAAAGCCCTCTATGTCCAGACATCCCACAGAGTAGTCCCTCTCAAAGATGATGTGCCCTTAATTTAAGCCCATCAAACATGTGAGTTGTTTATACATTTGATCACATAGTACTTACTTGATGACCCTCACTTATCTGAAGCAGAACTGTACCATCCACAGTCTATCAACAGACTTAAAAGTTCCCGCGATTGCCCAAAACATGCATCACTCACACTTATTCTATCCCGGGGAAGTGGATAACAGCAGCTCCACTAAACAGACCCCAGGTCTGCTCAAACAGCTCCCCAGTCAGAAGTCAAAGCCCAGGCTGGGGCTAGTGGAGCTAAATTAACTGGCCAGGAGCATAGTTTAAGCTTGCACAGACATAGCTGAGAAGAGCAAAGCCAACAGCCCCAGCACAGCAGAAAATAAGCCCAAAGACGTGTCCAGCCACATGTTGCATGGCTGGCACTTTTTGTACTTGCCTTCCTCGGCATCCTGCCCTGCAAATACAACAGCTGGAAATGAACGGGGTGTAAATGGTGTGCACGCACATATAAGGCATATGTTTTCTGTGCCCTTTATGGCTATACAAGCCCCTGTATTAATTTCATAAATGGATGTCAGGCAGATAGAAACTTCACATGAACATACCCACATACAGAAAACATTTCTATGGGTGTTATTTTGACACAGTTTACAAGTTTGGGGAGGTTTTTGTTTAGGAAAAACACAAGACGGGAAATGTGGGGTTTTTCTGATTGATGCTCAGTGTCTTCTTTTGCACTCCAAATCCTTTTTGTGATCGATTGGAATATCTGAGGGCACAGTAAAGCCTCAGGTAATTTGTGAAGTGCATAGGGGTTACATGGGGCGTGATAGGGGAGCAGAGATTATATTTGTGCAGCACAATGCTTTGGAATAAATTATATTAATATTTACATAATCTATAAATATGCTAATTTTATACGTGACTCTTTTGTCCTCCAAAATAGCAGCGCCTTTCACAAAACACCTACTTAAAGGATACAGCAACCCACACAAAATGGTAAACTGAAATTTGTGGAAAGATCACCAGGTCACAAGTTTTACTCTTCAAAAAGACGTAACATTCTGTAATGTCACCAGTGATTGCCATTTTACATCACCATTCATAAAACACCCTTTATTCAAAGAACAGCCACATGAAAGGAGGATCGGTGGCAGTGAACCTACCGCAATTTCAATGCTGCTGTCACATGTCATGATATTAAAGCTGTCTCGTAAAACCAGAAAATACATGGGTATCACATGGAAGATTTGTCTTAGAGGACCTGAGGAAAAGGCATTCAGTATCCAGGCCCCGTGCCCAGGTTTGGAGTGGTTACGCACAATCTGTCCCTTCTCCAACCTGTGACCTTTCACTATCGCCTGGGAATGCTGAGTGCCACGTGCCTCCCGGTCCCTGTTCCAGCAAACCCAGCAGCTCCAGAGCGCCCGAGTCCTGCCACACATGCATGCACACAAAAGCCAGAGTAGTTGCAGGACACATACCCTGCCGTTGCAGAAGGGCCAGTTCAAGCTGTTGCTTTAGTTAGATTAACACCACCACCCTTCACTGGTTCAACTGTAGAAGACCTTCCTCAAACCGTAAGGACTGAAGATTCCTCAGATGTTACCGGCTTTAATGAAATCTTCTATTCACCAAGAAATCATGGTACAGCCACTTTCACACAGTGTCACTTCACCCTGAACTGCCCCCCATGCCCATTCTAAGGGGTTACAGGCACCCAGTACAGCTTTTGAAGGCAATCTGAATCAAATCAAGATACAGGTGTTTCCTCAATCCAAACCAGCAGGACCATGTTTTAGAAGCTGAATCCCACCTACCACCCTAGAAACCTACAGCCAGCCTTGCCAGGACATTCTGCAGGCTGGTGAGGGAAGTCACTATCTGTTCCATTAACAGAAGTGAGGAGACATCCACTGACATCCCATTTTATAGGGCAACTAGATAAACTCCATTAAAATAGAATCTAGGTATGCCAGGGGACAATCTGAAAAGACATTATATGGTCTGGCAGCAAAGGCAACAGAGTTCCAAAAGCATAAATCACATTAAAGCATATGCAGCCCAGGCGAGGACACCTGAAGTTTGCACATATGGCTGCTCCACTGGGACGGGGCTGTCTGCTGCAGGCATGCAAATCAAAGCCTGTGCATCTCATTACCCAGGCTGGGAGACATCATTCAGGCCTGGGATGAGTGGCTGAGATTCCCCCAGCGCCGTAATGGGGTGACAGTTTGGCAGCATCAGCAGTCAGGTTGGCCTCTATCCTTCACAGATGTTGCTGTGCTAAGGACAAGGAGGTGTTTATTTTACAGGAAGATGGTGTCTTGGCCTGTGGCACACAGCCAAACAGCCCAAGGTCAGCTCCCCATATACTGTAGGGGTTCTTTTTGGCACCCCTCCCAAGCAGCTACAGCATTCTTGGTTGCAGCATTGGTGAGGCAGGAGGGGAGGTAGGGAACATTCCTATGACGGGAATTCTCCAAGCCTGCAATGCCCAGGGTCTGCATAGCACAAGGCAGTCACACTGAAGTTCCTCAGAGTTTATGTGTCCGGATGGCAGCTGTGGATCAGATGCTTAAGGTGCAATAAAAGAGAAAATGTCATATTGATATTCTCACTCCTCCTCTTGCCATAACACCATTCATCTCCACTACTCCCACTTCAGGTGCAACTGGATTGGGGTGCGTTTGCTGAAACCCACCTAGGGAAGCCCTGGAAAAGAATGATTTCCAAGCCACTAAATTGATTCTTCTCTCCATGTGTACTACAAAGCCATAACAATGTTGCCTGAGTAAGGGCCAAATCTTTTGTTGCTTGTACCTGTGTCAATGTGGAGTAACTGCACTGGAATTAAGTTCTTAATAGTATTAATTTATAGAACTGCCAACTTGCTATTTGAAAACTTTCTAAGTATGCAGAATTAACAGCTCTCATTACTTCCACTGGTGCAAATACAATCAGAGTCTGGCTTAATTTTAATACAGAGAAGAGAGGAAAATCAATAAGAGCTTGGCACACCTCCACCTTCATGGAAAAGCTCCAACTATGACGTTTCCTAGTTACAACTTTGGGGAACTTTTGAAAGGACACTGTTCCAGGTCACACTGCTTCCATTTGTATTGCATGCAGCCCCCAGAACCCAGTATTCCCTAAAAAGTACACAGAGAGCTCCTGAACACTGCAGTACAGAGGTTCCTCTTTGCCCATTTTAAACACTTCAGTGAGCAGCATTCCCCAATATCTGCTACTGCTCATTTTGCACTGCCTTTTGATAAAATCAGCTCCCAGGCTCTAAGTTTCTGTCTCAGGCTGTGAGGACCTGATACAGTGACCACTAACAATGGGAAATATAAATACTGCAGGAAGTACTCAAGCAAACAGCACCCTATTACTCCAGGGGGAAGGCATTAGGGAAAAACAGTTTAAAATGCAATTGGCTTCATGTACATTTGAACAGGAATATCCTCACCTTCAAACCTACACACAGCTCCAAGCTTCAGTGAGGATTGATAGTCCTATGTGCCTATTGAGATAGATCAAACACTATTTTTAATCACATCTTACAACCACACTGTCCCAAATGCTTTGCATGTCAAAGCAATCAAGGGAGCAAAATGAGAGAAAACTGTGATGCAGAGCTGCAACGCAAGGAATAGATTTGTGCTTTGGATCCAAAGTCCTCATAGGAAAGAACGATCTCAAAAGGCACAGGCAAAGCAGAAGGGGAAAGCTGTATGAGATGGGGCTGGAGCAGAGCTGAAGAGCTGACAAGGTGGAGAGAAACAAGAAGGGAACGTCTTGCAAAATGGATTAAGCTGTAGGAGCCGAAAGCATTAGAGGCAAAGGCTCGGGGCAGAGGGAGGGCACTCAAGGACACTGCAGCAGAACTTGCAGGCTCTCAACGCTTGCGCTGAACTTTCTGTTCCCGGCTGCCTGTTTTGGAGTGTGTTCTGGGGATGCCTCCTCTTGGGAGTTCGCCTGCTGGAAGAAGGTTACGAAGCCAGAGCCTGGCAATGCTTATGTTGTAGTGTGACAGCGGCACATAGGCATGCTGTGACGCAGCATCTTTATATGGCACTGAAAAGTCATGCTGGGGCAAAGGGATGGGATTTGCAGGTTTTACAACTCAAGGGACCCTTCGCAGCCCACAACGGTAGCCACTCACTGCATGTGAAATTCAGCTGTTTCCTTCTGCAAAGGACTGGAGAGTCTCCTTGTGTGTTGCTCAATTATACCCCACTCTGCAAACTCTCTTGAGCTGGGATTTGAATCTGCTCTGTGTACAATAAATCTCAGCCAAAAAAGAAGCCTCATATGGTTTGCCAAAATATGTTCAGAGATCCCAGAGGTCATTACAAAAGTTAGTAATATTAACAAACTCTCTTTCAAGACAGTGTGTACGATCAGTGTGTCAGACCAGGGAAGTTTCTTCTTCTCCAACACACAAAGACAGGGGCTGTGTTTCTAAGTCAATGCTGAGATGTGGCAGGGGACCCCAGGGGTGAGCTGGAGTAGGACTGTGTCCCACTGAGATCTGAGGGTGCCAAACAGCTCTCCAGCTATTTGCAGCACAACGCACTTGACTCTGTTTCTGCAGATCCCCACATGCCAGAGGCAGCTGGGCAGTGTCTTGAGTGTGGGGTCATGGAAGGGGAGAGTTGTTGCGTGAGCTGCAAGAGGCAGTGCTAGCAAGGGGAAGGCAAGACAGGAGCCAACCATGCGAGTCACACACATGCTGTGGGAACATCAACAGGTCCGTCCTGTGCAGTAACATCTTAACCCTATCTCCAAGCAAGGCAGAGGAGTGAAGACCCATGTGTATTTGCTACCTTTGCCACACAAGCACAAGCAAATCTCTTGTTCTGCAATCTCAGTGCTTCCCCTCCAAGGGCTCTGCCTTTTGCCTCATGTTCCCAAATGCCATGAGAACCCTCCAGGGGGGCAGGCCAGGGGAAATTCAGGCTCAGCACTTGTTGCAGCTCCTTTCTCTGTGTCACAGGCCAGGCCTTCATGCAGGAGTTCCTTGCTGTGGCGCACACTGCTTTCATTTCATTTCATTTTCATCCAGAAAGGAGCTGAAAGCTGGCAGTTTACTTCTTGGGAAAGGGAAGGGGTGCCTCTTCAGTCAGCCAGCACTGACCTGAGCTCAGGAGGATGGAAGGGAGGAGGCTGACGCTTCTCTACCGGGTGTCATTGTATTAGAAACAAACTGGCATTAACCTCACCCATATGTAGGATGGGCACAGATGCCAAGTCACAGAAAGCATGAGGACTGTTTACAGTACAGATGTCAGAGTACCCCAGCCCTGCAGGATGCACAAACTGCTGCTGCTTCTACGTGGGTACAAACCAAATCCTGCAGAAGAGATTCTGCCCTTCTCCCTTCTGCACTGCATGGGGTCCATCATCAAACCCTGCTGCTTTGACTCACTATTTTCCTAAAAGTGATAAATCTGTCTCCAAGTAAATGCCATTGAGAAAGGTTCAGCCTTAGGAGAAGGATTTTGAGAGCACTGTGCTCAGACAAGCAACCTGAACTGAATCCTAACTAGAACATCCCATGGGCACATTCGTGGTAATTATTATATAAGAAACAGTTTAATATGAGATAAAGTTCCTGTATCCTTTGTACTCCACAGACAAAGCACAAGGCAAGGCAAGGAAACAGAGGAGCTTTTTAATTGTCTCATGTCCACACACATGACCGCTGCTGCTGCTCAGTCCTTAAATAAAACACAAACCCTAAGTCAGAACTCTCTGTACACCCAATTCTTCCATTAACTTCTCTATGCAAGGAGTGTGCGATTGGACACCATCACACAGGACCCGGCCAGGATCCTTCCCAATCTCTCTGCTTACTGGGAACCCCTTGCAAGTCTCAAGCTGAAATCTGTAATGAAGCAGATACTGTTGCTCATGAAAACCAAGCTGCTCAGACTGCTTTGTGTTTGCAGGGTTGCTAGGGAGCACTGGTTACTATTACTAGTTTATTTTTTTAAGGCCTCTGAACAACTTATGGAAACAAGTTATTCCACGCTCACCAGAAGGAACGAAGCCTGGCTCTCTACAGCTTTGAGTCGTTGTCCCTGAAAACGTTTTTTTCCCAGCACAATGTCCCCTCCCTATCCCAAAAGACAGCATCTCCTTCCCACATCTCAATTCTGCTTGGCACACCAAGATAGAGCAGAAGCAATAGCTGGGTCACAACTATGAACTTGGCTGGCTTGCTGGCTGGCTGGGAGCTACCAACAGTGGCCAATTACTAAATTCTGCCTATTTTGCTCTCACTAGGGGACTAATTTTGGACTTTCTCTGCTATCTAGTCATCAGTTTTCATAAAATCTGTAGGAATTTTATTCTCTTTGTGATTTCATGAGTCCAGCTGAAATTTGGCCAAAAGCTTTTTTCTGAGGGGAAGAGGGAGCAGGCAGTCAAGCTGCACAATCTGGAAACCAGGCTGAAAGCACAGACAGTGAGGAGCTACCAAGATTTTGCAACCAGATACACAGGGAAAAAAAAATCCCATTAAGTTCTCATACTTACTCAGTATCCTATTTGTAGCTGTATCCAATAATGATTCTTCTGACACAGACTATTTGATGAACACACCTAAGACCTGGCAAGTGTGACTGTCAGAACACTGATGTGATGAGGATTCACACTCAGGATGTAGCAATTTAGATGACACAGATACCATTAAAATGCCAGGGTCCAGAGTGCAAAAGCAAATGGACAAGGTCTGAGAACCCCAAGCCTTGAAGCTGACCACTTGTTAATGGCAGCGTTGCACCTCTCCTACAAGACAGGAGTTAAGCAGCTCTCAGTTTCTCAAGCTTTCCTTTCAAAAGGGTCCTTTTGGGAAAATTTCTCATGGTTGCTAACAAACATTCCTCTCCCCAGCACTAGCAACACAGGGAGAGCGTAGGCGCGATGCACCTGTGAACATACTGCAGTGATGCGGGTGTGCTAACAAGTGCTTTTGAGCAAAGGATAATGCATGTGGGTACACAGAGGCACAGGCAACGAGGTCATCCGGTCACCTTTGCTACAGAGCTTGTGAGTAAGTGTGGAAGCTAGTGTACTCAGGAGACATCAGGCCTGTGCAAACACACATCATCAAGTCACAGAATCATAGACTGGATGAGCTTGGCACAGACCTCTGGAAGTTACCTGGTCCAAACGCCTGCTCAAGCAGGGCCACCCACAGCCAGTTGCCCAAGACCATGTCCAGACATCTCTTTGGTATCTATAAGAATGGAAAGTCTACAAACTCTCTAGGCAACAACCTTAGTGATTGGTCACTCGCACAACAAAGAAGTGTTTCCTGATGTTCAGACAGACCCTGTCATGTTTCAGTGTGCACCCATTCCCTCTTGTCCTGCCACTGGGCACCACTGAAAAAGCTTGGCTGTCTCCTTTGCACCCTCTTTTCAGGTATCTGTATACTTTGAGGAGATCCTCTCCGAGACTTCTCCAGGTTGAACAGTCCCAGCTCTCAGTTGCTTCTCCTAGGAGAAGTGTTCAAGTCCCTTAATGATCTTAGTGGCCCTTCACTGGACTTTCTCCAGTAGCTCCACATCTCTCTTGTCCTGGAGAGCCCAGAGCTGTACACAATACTCTAGACACGCTTATGAGCACAAATACAGAGTGCTTCAGGGACTGTTAAGGGAGACAGTACCACCTGCAGAGTGGCAGGCATTTGGTTTTGTGAATACCTCCTTTCTAAACCTGGAGCCTTCCTTCTCATTGCCTTTTGGCTCCAATGTGACTCTAGGATGAACAGCCTCTGGGAAGGACAAATTTAGTGACAGGGAAAAGGAACCAGGACCTTGAAAGGCACTGGCCTACAGAGCATAGCTTTGCACCATTCCACAGCTGTCAAACACAGGACGGAATTAAGCAAGGACAAAGCAGCAGCTATAGATCAGTATCTCAAAGATGTCTTCAAACATTACTTATCATCAGCAACTAGAAGAGTTTCATCTCGTGTGAATAGCTCACTCCCCAGAGTCCCACCACATTCAAGAAGATTATATTTATATTGAAAAAGGCTTTTTATTGACTCTCTTCTCTCAAATAATTGATAAGCTCTTATTGCCATCCCACTTTGCTCAACCTCAGCCCCAGTTGTGCCCAAGGTCTGGTCTAGTTCCAGCCCATCTCATTATCTAAAGCACCAGAAGCAGGTGGTGTTTACAGGACTTGCTGGAAGAAACTATTTCTGCACGAAGAATAAAGATGTGAAGGTCACACTGGGAAACATACCTTATTCAGAGCAAACACTATTCAGCTCTGTTTGATTATGTATCTCTTTGCAGTCATATTCCTATTCCTTTTTTATTTCTTCTTTCCCTTTCTTTCTTTCCTCATTGTCTTTTCCTCTCTTAAGGACAGAGTCAGCATCCACTAAAGTCAGGGAGGAAACTTCCACAGACTTCAGTGGTCTTTGAAGCCTTTCAAACCTTCTGACCTCTCCTCCCTGGGCAGCAAATCACCTCAGTTAGTTTCACTGTTCAAGTATGAGGAGAACATTAAACCAGTGAACAAACTGAAGGGCACGAGACGTTATCTAGGCCAATATCTCTCATCCAGTTCAAACTTATTTTTCCCAGGGATAAAAAAGTGAGGACTGTGCTATGCCAGGATGGATTTAGGGAGGCTTTAGGGAAACAAAAATGAGCTTATTCTTTTCACTTGACTTGATGGAGATGATGGACTGTTCTGACCATAGTATTTTTAATGTCAACTTCCAAATAAAAGCGGATGACAGTGAAATGAACAGTGGTGGACACCAGTGACACTTAGAATCCTTACACCATGACACCTCCATTCCCCCTTACCCAAAAGACACAATTTCCAACCTAGACCAGTCCACCAGAAGCTTTGTCACTCATCCAGGTTTAGCTAACATCTACAACACCTGGAATGCAAAGTTCAGATTCAACATCTGGTTTGTATGCTTTTTCATTCTCTACCTTATTTTCTTTTAATCCCCTTTGCTCACTTGTACAACTTCTACAGCTCTGTTCTCCCCCTCCGTGTCCCCTTAAGTTCCTCATGGGAGAGGTACGGTTTTATCCCAGTAAACTACGTGGACATGCCTGAGGATAGCAGAAGTTACCGAAAGCATTTAGCTATGTATGTTGAGGTACCACATCTCCACAGTGGCACTTTCCTACCTGCTGCTGTCAGCCTGGTTGGCCAACATCAGGACCTTCTTCTTCAGCAGCCACTGCAGAGGAGACTGCTAATTTCAGAGTCTGCATAGCAGCTCCCCTGCAGCCTTCCCCACATCGTACACTCACCAAAGCAGACCCCCTGTTGTGTGCCAGCACACACCCCATCTCTCCAAGCACAGCTAAGACCAAGACCCTGCACTTAACCCCAGTTCTGCATTGCAGTTGTTGCTGGGATTTGCCAAGCTTTCCATTCAGTCATGCTCAGCTCAAAATTAGGCTCCATGCTAAGCACTGTGGGAAGCTGCAATGGAACAAAATGGACTACAAGGTTGCCGGACTTATTTTTCACTCCTTACATTAACTAATTAGCTTTCTTCCTCATTAAAGTCCCTTCAAGCATATCAATTACCTAGCTCTGATGGCAAGGATGGTACAATAGCCCTCAGTGCAATCAGATGAGTTGGAATTCAGCACAGCAGACCAACAGGGCAGAGGATTGGGTTACCCGTGTGTCAGCAAAAGGGCATTATTCTCCTGACCTCCCTTTTGCAACAAGAGCTGAATGGTGGTTAGGAGAGGAGAGAGGAAATGCCAGGAAAATAGCACAATAAGCACCTTCCAAAGAGAAACCAATGCTGTGACAAAAGGCAAGACAAATATTTAAAATGTCAGCCTAAAATTAGGACAGCCTAAAACTTGGCCTCTGTCATCTTCTGTTTCTATCTAAAGAGAGCAGCTTTTAAACTTCTGTCTTGGATAAGACAATTCCCTCACTTCCCTCTACAAAAACTGAGGGAATGGTGAAGACAAGGGATCTGTCTTAGTCGTGCTTCCACTCTCAGAAGCTCATGGCCCAAAACTCACCCACAATAAACATGCCTTGCCCAGCAGCTCAACAGCAGCAGATTTCCATATGTGAATTTTGGGTCAGCCTCAGAATTTTCCAAGCCAATTTGCCCATCATTTGTTAAGCAATATCACATTTGTGAATTGCTGCTATTGCCACTATTAACTGAGTCCTTTGCATTGTCTTGTACCCGAGTTCTACATTCCCCATCTGCCAGACACTATGAAAGCTATGCTCACCTCAGATGCAAATGATTTCTTGAGCACCAACAAAAAAGGTAACAGCACCTACATTGTATCTGTTAATCTTAAACCTCTACATTCAGTTGGTTACATGGATGAAGATGCATTGCTCAGTGCAGCTGAATACTTAAAAGCACTGAGACAATAAGAATGCATTAAACTTTTATCTCCAGTGCTACAGCTACAATAGGCAATCAAAGAAATTGCCACTCTCCCAGGGCTCTGCATTGCCTAAAGGAAACTAACTTTTGTCTCAGAGTGTGTGTGTGTATGTGTATGAAGAAAGATGGATAAAAGGATCTCAAATACCAGCTGCAGTGTGTTTGGCTACTTTGCCTTAGTCAAATGATGAGCGCTGAGCATTGCAGAAAGCTCAGAAGAAGGCAATTTTATGCAGTCATGTAGAGGGAGGAAGAAATAAGATATTTTTCACTCCAAGGATTTCATGATCAAGCACAGCTTTCTTTTTTTCCCCTGAAATGTAAAATCTATAGGAGACAATTACCAACCTGATATTCCTTTCAGAGCCACGCTGATGAAAAAATCCCTTTACACAAGACTTTCTTTCCCTCAATACGAAATTTGGGGGCCTCTGTGTCACTACGTGATAGGTGTAACTCACCCTTCTATGAGTGGAAGCTATAGCAGCACTATCAATTCACATCTCAGCTTCTAAAACTACA